TTTTGATAAATGTATTGATGAACATCTATACGTTTCACAATATGTTTGTTTCGTATGTATGTGGTTCACAATGTGAAAACTTTTTTACATGTAACTTTTGTTTCACAAACAAGCTAAAAATGTTTCATTGTGAAACAAATACATGTGAAGCAAATATATGTTAATCGATATTCTAAATCTTAGTCTTAGATGAAAAAAATCATATGAAATATCACATGATGACACTAGTTCTCAAGGTTATCACAATTTTACGGGTTCTCAAAAGAAAGCCCTATAAATCAATATCAAAATTTATTTTTTATATTTTTAATATATGATTTAACATAATCTTGATATATATAAGTATGTATATAAAAACACCCTTATATTTAACATATAGTTTTTATGAAATAAAATTCTAAATAGCTGATTACTTGGTAGTTGGTTTATCCAGGTTTTTGCGTTACAAATCCACAAGATAGTGCCCAAATATGAAATTTAAATAAAATATGCAAGGTGAAAGAATTTATTTGAACAAAATTACATTTTCTAAAGAAAATCAGGGCTGACCTGATAGCGATAGGAGTTGCGTAGGATCCTGTACGTCTGCTCAATTGATTATTGCAAGATAATTTTTGGATGTTTGAAAGATGCACCTGCTTGATTTTGAAGGGTGCTCCTAAATATTCTAAAATCAGATCCATAACAGAAATTAGACATGGGTCGGATGGTAGGATTACCACTCCACATGCAATAAGTCACAAGTGCGAATCTTATTTCAATTCAAAATTTATTTTTGATCTTTTAATTTTAAGCTCTGGTCTTGGTCTAAAGCATTAACTCAGACTCTACAATGTTATATTGAAAATATTGACAACAAATAATATAGTTAAAAGTTTCGAACCCACAACATTATGTACAATTATATGCATTACTACCAATTAGTGATGGCCAGCCCGGCTCGGGACCGGGACCGGGACCGGTCAAGGACCAGTTATAGGACCGAAATCTGGGACAGGTTATGGATTTGGGGTGTTTCGCAGGACCGGAACCGCTTATGGACCGGCCCGGTCCGATTTTTTAAAAATTGTAGCCGTTATTTTTCAAAAAACTAGCCGTTTTTTGGTCTTTTTTTGTATTTTTTGCTTTCTAAATACTATATATAAGTGTCTTGGTTGAGAGATTTACATACCAAGTTTTCGATTTGCAAAAAACGTAAAAAAAGAAAACGTTCACAATTATCGGTTTCTCGCTATATTTTGTAAGATAATGTAATTTTAATTATAATAAAACGTATTATTAAGGTGTATTTGAGTGACTCAAATACAAATTCTATAATGTATTAAAAATATATATCATTAAAAAAATATTTTTTAATGACCGGGACCGGTGGCCCATAACAGGTTACAATAAAGCTTGACCGGACTCAACTTTTTTGGCCGGGACCGGGACCGGGACCGGTTATAAGAAATATTGGGACCGGTTGGGACCGGGCAAGCCTAGGACCGGTTTTTGGCCATCACTACTACCAATATATAAAGACAACTTTTTGTCATGATTTATTTTCCTTCCCAATATCAATTCATCTTAAAAACCGTCATTTTTATCTTAATTTAAAAAAAAACATATATCTTGATTCTATTTAAATAAACATATTTTATTTTTCAAATCGACAAAAATTACTTTCAAAAAATTCCTGCATCCATCACGTGGAAAAACAATTATTAAAGATGGTTTAATCCTTCCGTTAAGACGATGTTTGAGATTGCTTATACAAACAACTTATTGACTTATTCCGGTGTAACACCGGTCATAAGCACTTTTGAGTGTTTGGATAAACAACTTATAACCGGTAATAAGGAGCTTTTGAAGAAGTTAAACCGTTATAACTTATAATAAATTGACAAGTACTTTTGTATAAAAAACATAAATCGTTTCAAATAAACAATCCCAAACACCCTCTAAATAAAAACCACTAACTTATATTCATATTATAAAACATAACCAATAATATCATTAAAAAAGGGCATTTTTTTCCCGACATTCTAAAAAGGCGAATGGGTTGGAGGAGGGCCCAAAGAATAAAAAACGATAAAATGATTAGGGAGTACGAGGTTCTTATGGTCTGTATTATGGGCGACGTGGTCTCTTCTGCACCCTTTATTTCTTCATTAAATAATCACATATGATTTTTGCTTTGTCTATTGACCATTGACTTCGATATAATTTCTCCGGTCCAGTCCAATTGAGGCCCAACCAATCACATATCGAATGGGTTGGTGACACATGACATGCACGTGACCTTACATTAGCGACACAACGTTGTTTAAAAAAACGTTAAGTAGTATTTGATAGAGCGAATGCTCATAATAACGTTGTTTTGTTATCATGATTTTATATGGTCTAAAAATTGTATAAACCTAAGATTAATACGGTCGATAATGTGCCAAAACTGTTACTCAATAAAGCATCACGACAATATGGTAAATGCTTTATAATACCCGTCAGATGTGTGTGTGTATGTGTGTATATATATATATTAAGTTTGGGTTAGTTTCGGAAGTTGACCAAACTTGAGGGGTTAGTTCTGCATAACTCGCTTTAACTTTGCAATTTGGATGAT